GCATTAAAAGCCTCCCTGACTGAAAAGCTGTCTTCAAACCTTTTGTAACATTAATTTTCTGGGGGCCTTCTGGCTATTATTTTATTGACAAAAGAGAAAAGCAATGAAAAGACATGTTGGGTGTGTTTTGAAAGCAAGTGAAAGACTAAATTGAGTACATGAACAGTTAAGCATCCTGTTAACTCTTTTAAAAAGCAAGCTGGGGCTTAGAATATCATCAATTACAATTTCCTAAAATTCTTATGTTGAATGCAAATGTTTGTTTTCCAAATTTAATACCTCCTTAACTAAATTTTTTTTCAAGTTGGACTTGAAGAATTTTTAAAGAATAAATATTTTGAAACAGTCCTGTGCTCATGAAAATGGCCAGAAATTATTGTCTTGTCAACTGTTGCGTGAAAAGTGATGATTCCTTTGTTTTATAAACTATAATTACGCAGAATATTTATTAATTAAGTTGTATCAACCTTGTAATTTCCGAAAGACAACATGTTTCCTGTATAAAAAAAAGTACCTCATTTAAAACCATGTAAAAATATATTTATGTAAATACTGCCGACTCATATTCAAACGTCAGATAAGGTCATTTAAATGCCCCAATGACAAAGGTCACGTCGGAGATCTTCAAAAAGAAGTAAAATTTAAATACATGGACATGGCGGGGCTGATGGGACACGTATGATACAATGCCAGACATAAAAAAGTGAATTAAAATACGACTCCATGTCAAAGTGTCTCTGATGATATATTCTTGGTATTACGGAATACTGAATGAAGGTCTACTGTTACTTTGAGAGTTTGTAGGGAAGACTTCAAGCATTAAATCTTGAAAAAATGTTGTATTTTTCTTTTCTTCTTTTTTTTAACCTGTACTTGCTGCTTGCTAAAATTTGCACTTCAGAATCCTGATGCTGTCAATGATGAATGTAAGAAAATTTATATTGAGCATTTGCACATTCCCATTTTGTATGTCAAAGTGGGTTACAAATGATAACAAGTCTTCGATTATCTGTTGCAGAAGCATTTCAAAGCATTTATTGCCCATATCCCACAAAATTCCATTCCTAAATTTCTCTGTAACCATGAATCTTAACTTGGAAACTTTTTTTTCTGAGGTCCATAAAGAGTTTTTTGTAATGAGATTTCACTGTACTGGTGGTACCTTGCAATTCAAGTGTCCCGCAATTTGACAGTCCTGCAATTGATGGTCAAATTTTCATGGAGGTTGACTTGCAATTTGACCCTTGCCCAACAATGTCACCTACTTTGTCCACTTATTTTGCATTCTTGTAGTGATATTTTTGAATTTAAAAAAGTGTCTTGCAATTCAACTGCTTTGCAATTCAACCCTAGTTTGGCAACGGATTACAGTCAAATTGCAAGGTATCACTGGTACTTTTATGCAGGTATATAAAGGAAATTTTATAATTTTTGAAAATAGATTGGTCTAAAAGGTTAAATTCATACAAAAGTTCATTATTTAACTTTCAGTAAATTTCATCTGTAAATTAAACAATGTGTGTATGTATACACATTTTATTTATACAGTATTTTTAAATTGTTTGATGAAAGCTAATTCTTTCCTTGATAACTTCAAGCAACAAGTTTTCAACAAATCAAGTTTTTCTTGAAAACTTGATTTGACAAGCTGGTGTGTTGTGTCCCCAAGTCGAGTCTCATTTTCACTTGGACTTAAGATATATAATTTTTAATTGGTAATGTATGGACAAAATACTCACAATAATTCCATGAAAATAAAATGTGTCTTCCAATTGAAAATGATCCAATCAATAGATTGTATGTGCAGTAGTTTCAAATACAGTACTTCTGCTGTAGATATTTGTGCAGTAGTTTCAAATACAGTTCTTCTGGTGTAGTTTACATTGTATTTATAAACAGTAGAATAGCAATTAATTGCTTACATAGAAGTCCTTCTATAGGTCCATGCTTAATTGCCACAATTTATTTATTTTTTCAACAAAATTTCACTGGTCCAAATGGCTTTGTTGTAATGAGATTTTACTGTACAGTAATTTACTTGTCACCCATAATGATAGTAATTTTCATTTGAGTCCGAATAACAACAACGTTCTTCAATGTAAGATGTTGAAATTGGAACACCTGAACCATTCAAGTCCTGTTTTCAAAGTTTATCTACTTTGCTTGGCTCTTTGGTGAACCATTGCTGCAATTATTCCGCTTTTCAGAACCATGTGGCGTTTACAGACGGATATTGAAAGCAAGAAAGAATTCTAATAAGAAATGAATAAATGAAAAAAAAATAACTTGATCCGTTTTAGACTTGCAAATTAGTTCCCCCCAAGGGAAGGAAAAGGGAAACGGTTTTATCTCTTTGCTTCCTGCTGTGGGTCCCAATCTTCTCCCCTAGCTTGCATTTTATTTTTATTTTTTTGAAGAAAAAAAAAAGAAATTGTTTAGATGAAAAGAATTACCTCTGGAGGGAAATTCATTAGCATTCCGTTTTGGACACCCCGAGTGGGTTTATCCTGAGTCCCTTTCGAGTGGCGGGGGAAAACTTTAAAGAATTTTCAAGTCTCTCTCTGAGTTTGTTTCTGTCTGTGTGTGTGTGTTTTTTTCCCCTGGTGTCGACATGAGGAAGAGGATGGAAGTGGAACAAGGTTGTTTTGATGACGTTGTGGAAAAAAAAATATTTGCAGTGCAGTATATTTGTCAATCCCTTCTGACGGGGATTTTTTTTTCTCTTTTTTCATTTGCGTGTCGGAAGTTGTGTCGGATTTCCCGTTCGTGACTCACGTCCGGAATCGACGCGTTCTGCTTTCCTTTTGTGAAAATTTTCGAAGCACACCAAAAAAATTCAAGAATATGCTGTTGACAATGAAATGATAACGAGACAGGAAAAGAATATGCTTTCGTCGAATTATACTCGGAATAAATAAATTTTGCGCTTTTATAATTTTCGTGTGAGAAAAAATAACTGACATTTCTCTTTGTGAAGTGCCGAAAAGTGGTTGCAAAAATTCGGTTCAAGCTCATCGAAATTGATGGGAACGAGACTTTTTAATGTGGGTTCAGGCTGAAACCGTTATTTAGAGAGGTTTGCCTTGGGGGGGGGGGGGGAAAGGTGGAGTGGGGGGGGGGGGGGGGGGGGTAAAAGGTTGAGTATCCGGTGTCAGTTTCTCGTTGACTGATGAGTCTTTGTCGCGGGTCAAAAGGAATGTGGAGACGCGAACAATGAGTAATCCAAGGATTTCCTTGGAAAGAATTGATAGCTTGTTTTCTGGTAATTGAACCCTCTTTTTTTTTTTTTAGAGAAGGGGGATAAAAAAAAACGCAGTTGTCATGGTAATTAACTACAAATGACGTCTGAGTGGAAGGAAGCGAAACTTTTGAATTTTATTTCTTTACTTGTTTCTCCCAAATTTTGGGATGAAATTGCGCAAAATTTGAAATGATGAAATTCGTTCAAATGCTTGTTAATTTTAAAACCTAAGGTGAGACCCCAAGATGCAGACGTAATAGGTGCATCAAGAGTGTCCCTAAGTCAAAATGTCCCCAAGTTGAGTCTCATTTTAACTTAGACTTACAATTTATAATTTGTAATTTGTGTTGTATGTACAAAATACTCACCATAATTCCATGAAGATAAAATTTGTCTTCCAATTGAAACTGATCCAATCAATAGATTTCAACACAATATGGACATTTGGGGGATTTAATACTGAAGCCTCTGTACAGTACATATAAATGTTGGCATTCACTGTAAAAATAACATTCAAGTGAAAAGAGAGAAGGAAGTCCCTCTATGCTGGAGGTAATTTTTTAAATTAGCTACATGGATGGTAAATTTGTGAGAGAAATGCCCAAGAACTTTTCTCACACCAATTTTAGGGTTGGATAAATATGAGTTTCTTGTACTTTGGCCTGAAACTTATTTGCAATTTTATCACAAAATGTCCCTATGTTGAGTCAGTGACCTCATGTCCAGCCTTTTTTACTAATTTTTTATGGGAAAATGAGTGTCCCTATGTCAAATTTTCTTCAGGTTGAGGTGTCCACATGTGGGGGTCTCACTGCAATCTGATTTTTTGTAGGGTTCTGTTACTGAAAATAATTTCTGTAGTGATCCAAGTTGCCCTAAAGTAACAATTTAGGTGCGCAAAGTGAATAAAAAGGAGTTTCGTTCTTTAAAAAAATTACCGAACCTTTCACCAGGTATCCAAAGATGAAGTTCAATTTTTTTTTAGTAATCCTCAATTCATCGTGTTTGGGAAATTTAAAGAAAAAATTTCTCATTTCTGATGTGGGTGAAACATCCAATGGGAATTTTATGATTTTGCTATATTTGTTCTTACATGAGTTCAAACTCAAAATCTGATTTGAATGATTTTTTTTAATGCAGGACATATTTTAGAAAAATCTGTCCCGTCTATGTTCTGATGCAAAATTCCCGTTTTCAAATTGAGCGAGGTTTCATAAATAATTTTTAGAAACTTTTCTGTGCATTATTCAACAAAAATCAGGTTTAGTTCGGCGTAATTTGGAAAAATGCAAATTTCTATGGAGGAATGTTTCTGTATTGATGCGTAGGTCACAATTCAATATTTTTTTCTTTAAATTGATTCAAAAGTAATACAAGTCATCTGGTCTGATTTGAGTGATGGAACAACTTCCTGGAATTATTTCGTAAAACCCTTTGTATCATTGGGAACGTTAGGGCACAAAAAAATTCGGGAACAGTCCGTTGAAACACGCATGTTTCACTTACCTAACTTGAGTAAAATTGGCAAACAGATGGCTGGTGTGGGTAAAGAAAAAGCGATAAAATGCGAAGCCAACCCAGAACCAGATGGTATGAGAAGGCCGTTGTCCACATTCCCCCGGCATTCGATTGAGTTGCGCAAGAGAGAGAGAGAGAGAGAGAGGGACGTGGTTTTGTTTTTGTTTTTCTTTCGTCGTTAAAATTTTGTCGTTGACTTCATTTGTCGAGATTGGACTTGTTTTGTTTTTTTTTTCATCAGTATAATTTTGGAGTATGGGTTCTTGGAAGAAAAGAAAGAAAGGAAACGAAGCTACATTTTTCGAGGCCGACGTTGGGTAACGCAGGCGGAAATGGTTTCTCGGGTCAGCCGGGGGTTGAAGGCCGCAGGCTATGTGGTGGTGGAAATGTGGGATTTCTTGGGCTCTGACCTGAGGGGTTCCTTCTGTTTCCTTCTTTCTACCTTCCTCTCTCTCTCTCTTCCTCATTTCTCTCTCTCTCTCTATATATATATATATATATTTGTAAATATATATAAATATATGTAAATATATATCTGTAAATATATATATATATATATATATATATATATATATATACTGTATATATATATAATGATCAGGATATACAGGTACAGTTTCCATATCAAAGCTCATTACATTGATTTTTTCATTATGATAATTTGTTAGTCCTATAGTGTCCTTTACCGAATGTTTTGGGGTTCTTTACAATTAACGAATTCCTTTCTGCTCCTAGACTCTTGTTGTACAATGAGTCCACCTTTAGTTTTAGTTTTAATGTTCGGGTTAAATTTTTTTTCTCGGGCTTTGGGATAAGGAAATAGTACTGTTATTAACATCATTGCTCTGGGATAGATGTCGCCTCAATCGCTTTGGTCTAAGAAAAAAAAGCTCTTTTGCGCCTCGAGTTCGTGAGGTAACATCAGGTGGGATTTGGTTTTTTTTTTTCCACGCCCTGATCTTAGGGGATCAATTTTTTCTATTTTTTTTTCTTGAAATGGGCGGTTGATTTGCTAAATTGCTTACTGTCCCACGTGGATTTATTATCCGCCCTTCCGTCATAAATGTGAAGGACTGCACTTGACCTAATTTGGATTGGATGTGCAGCCTTTTTGGCTGAATCAGCAAAATTTCCCGTGTGACCCGAGGTTCTGTTCGCATGAACATTAATGCAACATCGCTGATTTGGAAAGCATTATCGGAATCTGATTGATTTAAATCCGTATTTACGCTTGACTTGACCAAACTTGCAGAGATTCTTCGCACATCTGTCACTAGATCGAAGAAAATTGATAATTTCGCCTTGTTTTTTTTCTTGTGCCATGAATCGGTCTTTTGAGTGTCAGGAAAATTGACGATCATTGAATAAACGCCCTTCCTTCGAATGGAATATTTTTGCGGGGGGGGGGGGGGTTTTTAAAAGCCGTTTATAGACCGTTGAGTTCCAAAAGAAGTTCATTTGGAATGCATATCTTCCGAAAGGGCAATGCAGTACCAATTGAAAGTGCGATGCCAACTTTTGAAACGCGTGGGATTCGAATTGCGTCCAGGAATATTTTTTGGGATAGTGGAGTGCAGTATTCTGGAAATTTCCATGAATCTTGGAAAATCGTACAGTACTTCTAAACTTATGTCGAATAATTTCAGAATGAAGTGTTTAAAAAATGTATGTATATTTCGGTTTTTCTTTGAATTCATATTCTAAGGCAGAGAAGTTTCTTAACGAATATCTGGTGGTGATATTGTAATTTATTTAAAAAAAAAAAAAAAAAGGTGCTGAAATTGGAAAATTGGGGAGAGAATATTCCGATGAATGATGTGCTACGAATTTTAGAATGATTTTTGAATGACTGGACATTTTTTTGTGAAATACAGTACGAAATTTCATTCTCGTAATATTTGACGGTATCATTTTTCAAATGTGTCTTATTTTTTTATAGAAGGATTTCTTCAACTTATTTGGAATATTGGCAGAATGGAATGTTTTTAAATGTTTTTATTACAGTTCTGTCATGAATTCATTATCTAAGACAGAGAAATTCCTGAACAAATATCCCGTGGTGAATTTATTTTTAGAGATTACATTTTTTAATTGGACAAAGAATATTCCGATGAATGATGTGTTTCGAATTTCAGAAGGATTCTTGAATGACTGTAAATTTCATTCTCATAATACAGTGAGACCCCGAGATGTGGATGTAATTGGTGCATCAAGAGTGTCCCTGAGTCAAACTGCCCCTAACTTGAGTTTTATTTTCCCTTAGACTTGCATTATATAATTTTTAGTTGGTTTTTCATGGAAAAAATACTCACTGTAATTCCATCAAAATGAAAATGTTCTTCCAATTGATACCAATTCAATACATTTCAACACAATATCGACATTTGGGGAATTAAATACTGATACCTCTGTATAGTAAATAGAAATGTTGGCATTCTCTGTAAATAATAACATTCAAGTGAAAAAGAGAGAAAGAAGTTCCTCTATGCTGGAGGTGATTTTTTTAGATCAGCTAAATGGATGGTAAATTTGTGAGAGAAATGCCCAAGAATTGTTCTCACATCAATTTTAGGGTTGGATAAATATCTGTTTCTTGTCATTTGGCCTGAAACTTATTTGCAATTTTATCACAAAATGTCCCTATGTTGAGTCAGTTATGGTGGGCCTTTTTTATTTATTTTTTTATGGGAAAATAAGTGTCTCTATGTCAAATTGTCTGCATTTCAAGGTGTCCACATGTGGGGGTCTCACTGTACTTGAGGGAATCATTTTTCAAAAGTAGTTTTTTTTTTGTAATTTAGAGAATTTCTTCAAATTCCTGAATTTCGTATTAACATATTTATTTCAGAGTTTTCTAATCTGCAAAAATCGTGATATAATGCAATCGAGTTCAAGCATTTCCTGCAAATTATGTAGAATTCTTGTGCGCATTATCCTTGGATCACATGACAGGTGAATTCTGACCCAGATGATAATTGATTTAAACTTATTTTCGAGCATAAATTTAAAGGCAGTAAATCTTGAATTGTGAATAAAATGGGTTCAATTGAAAAAGAAGTGCGTGTTTCATGTGGGAATAAGTTTTCAACTTGAATTTGCGACTCAAAAATGGAAGTACTGTGTGCTTCTTCCTTGAGAAATACTGTGATTTTGAAAAAAAAAAAAAAACATGTTGAAATCAATAAATTTCCTTGGTCAGGTCAGAATCATCTGTTTCTTTACCGACCCAGTTTTCACTTGACCTTCAGCAACAATTTTTCCTTCCTTCTCTCGCAAGTTTTTTTTTTTTTTTTTTTCTGATGCAATTTCGAAGGACAACACCTGGCGAACCCGAACCAACACATTTTATTCANCGGGTTCGCCAGGTGTTGTCCTTCGAAATTGCGTCACTGATGCCCTGCCCGGGGGTGTTTTACGACTAGCTAACTAACTAAATTGCCTCCCATGATGACCCGTCAGTGAGCTTGGACATTTTGAAGAGGAAAAAATAAAATTGGGAAGGAAGGAAATTTCTGGGAAGAGTGTGGTTTTTTTTGGGTTTTTGGAATTTTAATCGCTGGCTTGATGCGTATTTTTTTGAAGGATTTTGAGTCAGGATTTTATTTTTTGGAAATTTTGTTGACGTTGGGGTTTTTTTTAATTGGCACGCTTTTTGTGCCACGAAAAATAAAATTGAGGTCCTTGCGTGTTTGACCTCTTTTCGGTGCAGGAATTTGAGTACTGTGCAGTGCAACAGAATTAGCCTCGGAAGTTTCGAATTTTTGACAACAAATTTCATTTTTACAAGGTTTCTCCCGAAAAGTGTGCGTGAGGAAAAAGTTGAAACAGGAATTTTTTAAAATTAAATTTCAAAAATCATTCAGATATTTTAATGAGGTACTGCACTGTGTATGAATGGAAATATTTTTATGCTCTAGGAATCCGTCTTCTTTTCCGAGATGTGAACCTTTTTTGTCAAATTTGTTGGATTTCTTGGAAGCTGAATTCAACTTGGAGTGTATAAGTTTTTTCCTGTTATTGTTTCTCACATTTTATTTATTTTTTTATTTCCGTGTGGAATATTTAAAAAAAAATTTATGGTCATTCAACAAAACTTGGTCACTTTTTAAAATAAATTGTTCACTTCGAGTCTGCGATTTTTGCCAATTTGTTCAGTTTTCGTTTTAATTTTCTCTAGACTGTGTTTGGTTTTTGTATTTTTTCATGCAAGACTCTTCCTGAAATTTCAGAATGTAAGTTTGATGAAAAAAGTTTCCAAAAGAAGTTCATTTGGAATGCATATCTTCCGAAAGGGCAATGCAGTACCAATTGAAAGTGCGATGCCAACTTTTGAAACGCGTGGGATTCGAATTGCGTCCAGGAATATTTTTTGGGATAGTAGAGTGCAGTATTCTGGAAATTTCCATGAATCTTGGAAAATCGTACAGTACTTCTAAACTTATGTCGAATAATTTCAGAATGAAGTGTTTAAAGAATGTATGTATATTTCGGGTTTTCTTTGAAATCATATTCTAAGGCAGAGAAATTTCTGAACGAATATCCGGTGGTGATATTGTAATTTATTTTAAAAAAAAAAAGGTGCTGAAATTGTAAAATTGGGGAGAGAATATTCTGATGAATGATGTGTTACGAATTTCAGAATGATATTTGAAGGACTGGACATTTTTTTGTGAAATACAGTACGAAATTTCATTCTCGTAATATTTGACGGTATCATTTTTCAAATGTGTCTTATTTTTTTTTAGAAGGATTTCTTCAACTTATTTGGAATATTGGCAGAATGGAATGTTTTTATTACAGTTGTGTCATGAATTCATTATCTAAGGCAGAGAAATTCCTGAACAAATATCCCGTGGTGAATTTATTTTTAGAGATTAAATTTTTTAATTGGACAAAGAATATTCCGATGAATGATGTGTTTCGAATTTCAGAAGGATTCTTGAATGACTGTAAGTTTCATTCTCATAATACAGTGAGACCCCGAGATGTGGATGTAATTGGTGCATCAAGAGTGTCCCTGAGTCAAACTGTCCCTAAGTTGAGTCTTATTTTCCCTTAGACTTGCATTATATAATTCTTAATTGGTGTTTTACATACAAAATACTCACCATAATTCCATGGAAATAAAAATTGTCTCCCAATTGAAACTAATTTCATCAATATATTTCAACACAATATGGACATTTCGGGAATTAAATACTGATACCTCTGTATAGTACATAGAAATGTTGGCATTCTCTGTAAAAAAAATTATCATTCAAGTGAAAAAGAGAGAAGGAAGGCCTTCTATGCTGGAGGTAATTTTTTTAGATTAGCTAAATGGATGGTGAATTGGTGAGAGAAATGCCCAAGAACTTTTCTTACATCAATTTTAGGGTTGGAAATATCTGTTCCTTGTAATTTGGCCTGAAACGTATTTGCAATTTATCACAAAATGTCCCTGTGTTGAGTCATTGTCCTCATGTTGGGCCTTTTTTTTTATTAATTTTTTATGGGAAAATAAGTGTCCCAATGTCAAATTGTCTGCATTTCAAGGTGTCCACATGTGGGGGTCTCACTGTAGTTGAGGGAATCATTTTTCAAAAATGGTTTTATTTTTGTAATTAAAGAATTTCTTCACTTTCCTGAATTTCGGATCAACGTATTTATTTGAGAGTTTTTTTAATTTGCAAAAATCGTGACATGATGCACTTGAGTTCAAGCATTTCCTGCAAATTATGTGGAATTATTTTAAGTATCATCCTGGGATCACATGACAGGTGAATTCTAGCCCAGATGATACTTGAATTAAGCTTTTTTTAACATAAATTTAAAGGTAGTAAATCTCGAATTGTGAATAAAAGTGGTTCAATTGAAAAAGAAGTGCGTTTTTTTTTTTTGGGAATAAGTTTTCAACTTGAATTTTTGACTCAAAAATGGAAGTACAGTGTCTTCGACTCCCTTGAGGAAATACAATTTTGGAAGAAAAAAAACATGTTGAACTCAATAAATTTCCTTTGTCAGGTCAGAATCATCTGTTTCTTTACCGACCCAGTTTCCACTTGACCTTCAGCAACAATTTTTCCTTCCTTCTCTCGCAAGTTTTTTTTTTTCTTCTTCTGATGCAATTTTCCTCACGTTGAATGGCGTCCATTTCTTTACTCCTTCTCTCTGGGATGATAATGATAATAATGACTCTGCACAGCTCGTGGAAAAGTGATTCCACTGTTTGCCTTTTGTACGTCGTTCACGTTTTTCTGTCGTCGCTTTGACTGATTGTTCTTTTTTTGGTCTATTCTGTTCTTTATTTTATTTCATTTTTTGAGCAGAAAAGAATGAGTTTGAGGCGGCCTCGTGGGCTTCAATGTCATTGACGGACAGGTGAAGACCCCGGAGAGAAAGAGCCTGTCTGTGTTCTCTCTGTTTCTGCTTCAGGGGGCATTTAAAAAGTTGTACATATATATTTTTTTTTGTTCAAGGCACTTTTAGTGAATAAAATGTGTTGGTTCGGGTTCGCCAGGTGTTGTCCTTCGAAATTGCGTCACTGATGCCCTGCCCGGGGGTGTTTTACGACTAGCTAACTAACTAAATTGCCTCCCATGATGACCCGTCAGTGAGCTTGGACATTTTGAAGAGGAAAAAATAAAATTGGGAAGGAAGGAAATTTCTGGGAAGAGTGTGGTTTTTTTTTGGGTTTTTGGAATTTTAATCGCTGGCTTGATGCGTATTTTTTTGAAGGATTTTGAGGCAAGTTTTTTTTTTTTTTATTATGTTGACGTTGGCGTTTTTTTTAATTGGCACGCTTTTTGTGCCACGAAAATAAAAAATTGAGGTCCTTGCGTGTTTGACCTCTTTTCGGTACAGGAGTTTGAGTACTGCACAGTGCAACAGAATTAGCCTCGGAAGTTTTGAATTTTTGACAACAAATTTCATTTTTACAAGGTTTCTCCCGAAAAGTGTGCGTGAGGAAAAAGTTGAAACAGGAATTTTTTAAAATTGAATTTCAAAAATCATTCAGATATTTTAATGAGGTATACTATACTGTATATGAATGGAAATATTTTTCTGCTCCCGGAATCCGTTTTCTTTTCCGAGATGTGAACCTTTTTTTTGTCAAATTTGTTGGATTTCTTTGAAGCTGAATTCAACTTGGAGTGTATAAGTTTTCTCATGTCATTGTTTCTCACATCTCATTTATTTTTATTTCCGTTTTGAATATTTTAAAAATTTCATGGTCATTCAACAAAACTTGGTCACTTTCGAAAATGAATTTTTCACCTCGAGTCTGCGATTTTTGCCAATTTGTTCAGTTTTCGTTTTAATTTTCTCTAGACTGTGTTTGGTTTTTGTATTTTTTCATGCAAGACTCTTCCTGAAATTTCAGAATGTAAGTTTGATGAAAAAAGCTTGAATGATTTGCTAGTGTGTAGGTCTTGACCAAAGCTGGCCTTGAAGAAGTTTCTAAATTGTATCTCATTATGTTTTTCACTAATTTTCGCGAGTTTAAAATAAGGAAAATTTATGCACAGGTGAACCTCTTTAAGTCGGATTTTTTTTCCAGGTCTCCATCTGATTCCCCTTAGAAACAAAGCATTGAAAACCTCGCTAGGGCTTTTCTTCTCAAACCTCCATAAGTGGAACTTTGTGTGGACTTTTGGACATTATTTTCTTGACACAAGAAAGAGAAAAGAACGATAAATACATAAATTGATGTGTTCTTGAAGGAGGTGAAAGACTCAATTGGGCAAAGGAACCTCTGCTTACAAGTGTAGCATCCTTTCAACTCATTTAAGAAGCCACTTGAGCCCCAAAATATCATCTTTTACAATTTTGGGCAATTTTTATATGTTTCCCAAAACAAAAGGACTTTGTAATGTAGCTAAAACATCTATGATTCAAAACTCACAAAATTGTGAAAAAATATGCAGCTGACTGTTATTGAGAAGAGCAAACATTTTCTTAGCCGATTTTTTTTTTGCCATTTGGAAAATTTTCCAAATAGGCAAAATTTTGTGAAAAAAATATGCAGCTGACTGTTCTTGAAAATAGCAAACATTTTCTGAACTGGTTTTTTTTTGCCATTAGGGAAATTTGCCAAATAGGCAAAATTTTGTGAAAAAAAGATGCAGCTGACTGTTCTTGAGAAGAGCAAACATTTTCTGAACTGATCTTTTTTTCCATTTGGAAAATTTGCCGAATAGGGAGAAAATGAGTTTGTTTGTTTTTTTCTTCATAAAATTGGGTTAAATGTTTAGAACGCGCATCCTTCCAGGAACTGCCACTTGTCAGAAAAACTTTTGCATCGCCCCCTTTGCGGAAGTCAAATGCGGAAACGTGTTTTCCTTCTTTCTGCTGCCTGTCTCAGTCATGATAATAGCTGACTGACGGACAGATAAAGAATATGCGTTTGGTTCTTTCAGAGGCTGGTGTTGATGAAATGTCGTGTCGGTGGTCTTGTAAGTCAGGTGCTTGATACTTGGTCGGAATCATTCAAATGTTGCACATCAGTGTGGTTCATGCGTCAATTCTGATTTCATTCAGTTTTTTTTTTTCAAATATCAAATTCAGAACGATTTTCAACAATTGTGGAAATTATGGCAAATGTCCTGATTTTTGATTGAAGTAAAATCTCGTTACAACCAACTCTTGGGGACTTCAGAAAAAGTTTGTTACTGTACCATGAATAAGTTTTTATAATGAGATTTTTTAAAATTTTGACTGATTGGAAAATTTTCCTGATGATGTTTTGCAGTGTTTAAAAAGCTGTGGTCTTCAAAAAGAAATGTAAGTGCTACTAACAAAGATTTACTCTGAATAAATGGTGAACACAAACAAACAAACACTTTTTGTTGACTAAGTTTAACTAAGCAATTCCTGCACAGATTTGTAAGGAAGGATGCTCCAGAATAAGCTTATAATTTTTACATTAGTAGGATTTCTCAAGCATACAAATCCATTTTAACAAGAGTTTTATTGTGTTCATTTTTTCATCTAACCCAGGAAAAATGTGTGAAAGAGAAGATGTTCTGGTGAATTTTGAAAAATGTTTGTCCTTGATAAGTTTGATACCATCTTATTGTGTCCCAAGAACTAGTCAGTCACATTTTGGAAGAGAAATGTGAGACTGTAACTGCTTTTATTGGGTTTTTTATTAGCAAATTGAAGTACTGTATATGTTTGGCAAAAATTGTACTGGTGGTAACTTGCAATTTGACTATCATGCAATTTGACACTCAAACAATCAATTTGACTGGCTTGACACTCATCAAAGAACAAAAGTTCAAAATCAAAAGTTTTTTCAATTACCTTTCAAGACTATTCCAATATTTTTTGGTCAATCACTGTAGTTTGAATTATTATTTTTTAATTGCAAAAACATCCAATTACCGTTTGTTTGATAATCTTTCAAAAAATCCAATTTCACATTAGTCAAGCGGTCTCAGTCTGACTGGAAATTATTTTCAAAAAAAAAGAAACTTGGGAAATTATAGCAAATGCCACGATTTTTGAATAACAGTAATCGCTCATGAAAGTTGAACCCATTGAAGAAAAAAAACTGTCAAATTACAGTTTGTTCAATTATCCTTCGAAATTAATTCAATATAGTTTTGGTCAAGTACTGTACTGTACTTGTATCAGTCTGAGTAGAAATTTCATTGGAAAGATAGAACCAAAATAATGCTGGATGAGAAATTCATCTTTTGCCTTTGGAAAAGGGGTTTGCGTGATACTTGTCCTAGTTCCGCGCGTTTTATAAATAATGCTGACAGCTGAAATTAATTGTGCAAAAATTTTTGTAAATTAGGTTTTTTCCTCGAAAACTTGGAATTGCGGTGGGTTCCTTTTTTTTCCTCTCGTCTGTGATGGAGTGATTGGAAAGTGTGATGTGAACTTTGTGCTGCTGGAATCGTGTCGGGAAAGTGAAAAAAAATTTTTGAGAGACAGCTGGGGAAGAGACCCAAGGAAGTTGAAAAAAAAAAGAAATAGAGAAGGGGAGAGAAAATTTTTTTTCTAGTCATGGTGACGTTGAGGTGTGAAGCATGTCGGGCCAAGTACCGTCAGGTACTGAAGGCCAAGTACAGTGACCTGATGGAGGCGTACAGGACCAAGCTCGGGCCAAGGTTTCCGTATTGCCCGCCGCCACACAGGCGCCCCAGGTCGTACCTGGTTCGAATCCGGGCTTCCAAGGTACCCATACTACTAATTTTATTTTCTTATCTGTTATTGGTAATCAATTTTTTTTTTTTCTGAAACACCGCCTTTTTTTTAACAATAGGACGCGAAAAGAGAAAAATTCATGTGAAAGATGTTGAGCGAGGGTTGTCCCGGTTTGACGCGACTTCTGATATTTTTTCAGAGCGGTTGCGATTGTTAATGACATGGACCATTATATTCTGAAGCTCTTGGATTTTTTTATTTTGGATTTCTGAAAGCGTTTCAAGAAATTCAGAATTACGGTGAGACCCTCAGATGCAGATGTAATTGGTGCATCAAGAGTGTCCCTAAGTCAAGTCTCATTTTCCCATAGACTTTGATTTTTTTTATTTTGGATTTCTGAAAGCGTTTCAAGAAATTCAGAATTACGGTGAGACCCTCAGATGCAGATGTAATTGGTGCATCAAGAGTGTCCCTAAGTCAAGTCTCATTTTCCCATAGACTTACATTATGTAATTTTTTATTGGTGTTTTATGGAAGAAATATTCTTCAGAATTCCATGAAAAAAAAAATTTGTTTGCCATAATTTGATTCAGTGAATATCTTTTCAACCCAATAAGAACATTTGGAGCATTGAATAGTGCACCTCTGTACAGTACATTGAAATTTTGGCATCTGTAAAAATAACATTCAAGTCACGAAGAGAGAAGGAAGTCCCTCTTATGTTATAGGTTATTATTATAAATTAGCTTAATGAATGTGGAAAATGATTGGAGAAATACCAAAGAATTTTTTGTGCATTGCTCTTAGGGTTGGAAATATTTGTTTCTTGCAATTAAGCCTAGTAAAAGTCAATTTTCCTGAAATTTATTGGCAATTTTATCATTCAATGTCTGCATGTTGAGTCAGTGTCCATATGTTGGGCCTTTTTCTTATTGAAAAATAAATGTACCTATGCCAAATTGTCCGCATGTTGAGGTGTCACTTCTCTCGTGATTTTTTTCATTTTTATTACAATTGCACCTACTCTAAAAATATCAGAGGTTGCGTCCAACTGGGAAAACCTTTGTAAGTGTTCCTGGGACAACAGCGGAAAATCTCATGTACGACGCGCATTTTGAATTACATTATTTAATTTTGAAGCTGAAAATTTAGGTAAGAAAATATGTCCCGGGAAAAGACGTGCACTCGAGTTTTCAGTGACAAAAAAAATGTTAACATATCATCAATCAAGCTTCCTTCAATTTTCAATTTATGCGAGGCCTCTTTCGTAAGTTTTGCGACCATTTCAAATAGATCCAACTCCGTTTGGTCAATTTAAAAGCATTTTTTTTTACCTTGTCACGCGGCAACACTTCAGTGCTGTTCAACTTACTCTCCGCCAATTTCAACGCACTTGATCACGCAATAAATCCAACAATCAAAACAATGGCGAAATCAAGTTCAGACTGAAATTTTCCTGGCGTCACTGTTTTTATCGTTGGATTTATCGAATGAAAATGTGCATTGAAATTGACGTGTTGCTTGCATGACGAGGTTATGCGGGTAAAAAATGAAAAATAAAATTTTAAAAATATTTCATGGACCAAAACGTGTTCGATTACAGTATTTGAAATAGTCGCAAGACTTACGAAACAACCCTCGTGATTGAATGTACAGTAATCAGAAACGAATGATGACCATTTTTACTCAAACCGAGTCAAACGTCACACGCTTTTTTTTTTCCTCGAAAGAATTTGTTCTTCCGTTCCTACATCGGCTTATGAGACACCCAGTTTCAAACAATAGAATCCAGGAAGATAAAATCCATGTGACGGACACTATGAGAATACAGTATACAAGTATTCCAGGGATGACATTGTACAATATCAAATACGACGCGCGTTTTGAATTATTTTATTCCTATTTTGGAGAGAGGAAAGAAAACTTATCCCGAAGTCGAATCCCTCCCTGCGTCGATATTTTTATTCAAATTCCTGTCTGAATACAAGTTGAAACAATGCATGAAAAACCACCCTAACTTATTAAGGCTTTTCCCGTTCAAAACCTCCCGTGACTCGAATTTTCTGTAGGCATTTTTGGCTAATATGTTATTGAAACAATGAAAAACTGCAAGGATGCTTTTTGAAAGGTAGTGAAAGGCCAATTGATGGCAAAGAAAATTTGCCATCAATGTCAGCATCTTGGTAACTTATTCAAGAAATAATTAAGGCCTGTAGAATATCACCAGTTAAAATTTCCTGCAATTATTCTTTCTTTCCCACAAGAAAAAGAAAG